GAAGGTCTTCCTCACAGCCCCCTCCTCCCTCACCTCCTTGGCTCTTCTTTCCAATAGCACATTCATACATTCACCTATTGCTTCAGCCATGGGACCTTCAGCATCCTCTGTGTCCCTGCATGTCCCTCCATGTCCCCTTGCCGGGTTGCAGTGCTGCACACAGAGCTGGGGACTCACTACAAAGCAGTGGGTCTCTGTACAACACATAAATGGCTTTCATTTCTCCTGTGCTATACTGTTCTCCCAAATGCTTTTCCGTAAGTCCTTATTCAGAACCTTGCATCCTGCAGAACTGGTGCTGTGCTTAGCTATTTGCTTTTTCTTTCTCTTCATTAGCTTTCTGTTCACGAGTGCTACCACGCTAACACACTACAGCAATGCAGCTTCTCATTCATGTGGTATCACAGACATAGATACTCTTTATTTTCTCTATTATTCCTCTACTTTGTATTAATCTTCTGTATCTATCACGCAGTGTACTCTCAATTTGGTCTTTTCCAATCATTTCAAAATTCTGGATGTTTCCTCTTCGTTCTCCAGCACTTTGGGAAAGCTCTTCTCTGCTGTTTTAAATCCCATCTCGAAAACCTTCCTGTTCATTAATGCTCTTTCTAATCTCTTGTTCTTGCAAATGTAGTAATTTGTTTTCCTGCAGGGTGGATTTGTTTGTTTTAGTTACTCTCACCCAGCACTTTAGATCAAAGAACTATATAATTTAAAATAAGATGTCCTGACAATGTGAAACAAACTCCACTTAGATAAGTGCTATCTTAAGATCGCATGTAGGCTCACAGCATCTATTTACATGGGTATTTCCCAATTGTTTAGGCTTTAGAAACCTAAATATAGATGTGAGGTGCCCAACTGCTGCTTCTCAGACTTGGGCTTAGGTTGTAAAAGAACCTGGTTTTAGATGGGTGAAAAGACCCAAAACCTTCTGATACACATAAAATGCAAACCCCTGCAGAACCCCTTAAAGGTCATTTTTCATCACTATCCTGAATCTTAAGGATTTCCTGGTCAGTTTATACCTGATGCTTTATCTCTGGCCTGAAAGCACCACACCATGTCATACCTTCTGTACATTGCTGCAAGGAAGGCTGTAGATCAGGAGATTGAAATCTCCTCCAGAAGTCTTTGATCTGGGAGCACAGCCACATCTCATGACTAATCTTTCCATAGGTCGCAGGCCACATCACCCTTAGTCCAGACACTGGCCAGCAATATCCTGTTTTCTAATTTAGGAAGTGCTGATGACTATACATGGGTTTGGGCTCATTCGAATTCCTTTCCTCTCCACTCCCTATTACATTAGCAATTTTTCTCCATGCATGTGTGAAGGCTGGACCAAAATTTGTCTCTCAAAAGAGACAACTGTCATTGTTTGCACTGATGTCTGCTCCACAAATAACTGTGAGCAAATGTGCTAGGGTTGGACTACCATGCCAGTCCTGGTTGCTCCTTCTTCAGATGTTTTTACCTCACCCTCACAATCTCAGTATGGTCTTCCCAAATCTACAGCTCACCTTTTCCTCCTGCTTACAGTCCCAGTCACTGTTCCCCCCCGAGGGGCTCCTCTGTGGCTCTCTGACAGTCCGTCCCACCACTGCTCTCAGCTCCTTTACATATTCTTCACTTTAGATTCCCCAGCTTACTTTGAATTCAGTCAAATATTTTAATTTCCCTTTCCATCAGACAATGTTTTTCCCTTTCCCTTCCAGATTAAATTCTCTTGCACACAGATGGTTTTTTTTCCCTCTCCAAAGGTCATCCAGAAGGTGGTTTCATAACCAGTTCAACCATCGATGGGCCTTACAGTGCTATCTTGATTCTCCTACAGATGAGATGTGGAAGAGTAATATGAGGGATGCACCAAGCGCAATGTGGGGTCTTGACTGCCTCTGGGCTCTCAGCGAAGTAAAGCCCTAAGAGATTGTCTCCGATCTAGCAAGCTGCTATCAGTCTGTACTGCCTCCAGCCCAGCCTGGCTCATCACGCAGCAGCGAGGAACACCAGCCAGCATCTGTCTGGTCAGCCTTACATATGAGAGAAAGGAATGCAACCTCCTTCCGCCGCCTTCAGTCCCCCCGCTACCCAGCCCATGGCTTTCTTGTTTTTATGCACTGCAGTAAATCTCTTTGATCCAGCAAGTGGTCTTTGCACGTGCAAGTTGGGTGACCAGCCCGTATCTGCCTCCCTGCCCGCGAACCCCACACTGAGAGCTCTTTGTCTGTCAGGGCACTCACACCCTTTTATACAGAGCCCACACTGGCAGACTGCTCTTGCATGACATACTAACAAACCACCAGCCAAAGGAAAATATCTCGCAATCATTTCAGACCCTCTGGCTCAGCCACTGACTAAGCCAAGTGGCTACTAGCCATTGGCACTGCTGGGTGCATTTGCAACCCACAGCACACTCAGCTCAGCCAGGAAAAAAACAAAGCACCGACAGAGAAAAGGGCTTCTTGTCCCTAGCCCTGAAGGAGTGCATGGGAAAGGAGGCAGACCTGCCATTTATAATTCAGTCCTGAATTTCCTTAGCTATTCCTCTCTATCCCTCTCTTTTACCAGAGGCAGGAGGTTCCTGCAGGGGGACCCCACTGCAGAGGTCAACATGAACATATTTAATGTCTTGATTGCACCAGATCTGATTTAAGGCATCCAACGGTCAGGGCTTTTTTTAAGGGAACAGAGCACTTAAGCAGGATGAAGGAGTCAGAATGACTTTGTGCTCTGGACTCAAATAAGCTGGTTAGTGGAACCTATCGTACCCCTCCCTTGATTCACCTAGATTGCTCCCAAGATGTAAATGTTCAAAGGTACTTAGATGTTTTGCTCCACAGAGAAACATGGGAGCCAGGTGCCTACCTGCTCCCAGGTTCTGCATCAGAGATGGATTTGAAAAACAAGGCTGCATCCAGCTCTCACCACAAAATGAAACCACGCTGTCTACACGTTTTAAGCATGAAACCTAATGAAACCATGCTTTGTCTACATGGTTTAACTCGCAAGATCAGATGGTGTGGTGCTGGGAGTGGAAGGTGTGGGCAACTACAGTCTCATCACCTGATATAGGTCTTCCCCACCTGACAGTAAAACTGGATTTCCCTTTCTCACCACATTGAGCACTGCTGTGGATGGGCAGACACATACATGTCAATGGCACAATATACAGTCTAAGACTATTCAAAAGAAGTATCACAGGGCCAGTGAGAAATGTTTCTCATCATGGATTAACTATAAAACATAAGATTTCACAAAAAATTAAACCAGACATAAAGCTGAGTTCAAAAGCATAGAAAATCTTGCAAAATTTTGACTCCAAAGGATGGCAGTGTTGAAAGAGTAGTGGTTTTTCCAAGCGCTCTCTCAGGGCTCCTCGTCCCCATCCACACCAACTGGTGACAAAGCCAGAAAACTCCACAAGTTCACCCTTCCCAGGTAAGCATGTCCCATTTCTGACAAACTTGAGGAACAGCTGTGTAAGACCCAGCACTCACAGCTCGAGCCCTTATCCGAACAGATAAGGGCTCTCACACTCTAAATTTGTGCCTTCATGGAAGCCTCGCTGCCTGCTGGAAGGCCTTTGCTGGGACATCCCCCCTGACAGCACTGGTAGGGACCAGCCTCACAGCAGCACTGGTGCTATGAGGAGCCCCCTGACCATGCTGCTGCAGATTTTAAAACGACTGCACTACTTTCACTGGCTGTCAAATCACTGAATCACAAGTGAGGTCACTCCTGGCAAGGTGGCTATCCCCAGTAAAAGCACTAGAAAGCCCTTATAAAAAGATCAAAACCAATGCTTTTTATGTCTTAATATGATTTATACTTCAGACTATGTAACTTTTACAGGACTGCCTAGTATTTGATGGATGCAGCTCTCTTAACAACCCCCGTATTTGTCTGATTTACTGCACTGGTCCAACGTGTTATTTTCTACCTTGCAAGAACAACCTTGCTTCTCGGAGTCTGCCTGCACGATAAGGCCGTGAATTAAATGTGCAGTTATCGTAAGAGACCACACATTTTACAGTAAAATTGGGAAAACTGATTACAGCAATCCCTCTGGAAACAAGAATAATCACATGATAAGACACTGCTAATGGGAATTTATCATCTCTCATCACATGTGAAGCTTAGAACAAAGCCACAACACACACGAACTGCACAGCTATTACTGTCAATGAATAGGAGCTGAAAAGCTACTGGAGACTATGAAGAAATGACAGAAGAGCGGGGACCCTGAACAGGCAAACCTAAGCCAATTCAGCGTGCTTCAAGAAGCTTACACAGCCGAGCTTATATGCAACATTAGTAAATATTATCCAAAATAGCAGCCTGACATCTTTTCATACATTCTATTCCCTCTCCACCTACATTATTCCATTCAAAGTCCATGTCATTCTTTCATTTGTTCTCACTGTATCTTATCACCAGAGAAGCCCAAGATCATGCGTATTTCAAGGGTATGTGCATCTCCACACCTACACGTCTGCATCTACACAGATACTCTCTCATGCACACATTAATCCTAAACTGCGTATCTCAGATCTTAAGTATGTTTCTCTCTTTCCCCCACAAAAAAAGGCTACAAAACCTGCCCACACTATTCTCCAGTTGAAGCAATTAACACTTGACTAAAATTAACATTTTTGAAGTTGTCTTAGGGAAGTGAGTGCCAAAAACCAAAACTGGCATGCCCCCAGTTTTAACATGAACATCTACATCCCTTAGCTATCCTAAAATGACTCTGCATCAAGCCCCACAAGACAATGAAATCCCAAGAGGTTAATGGTAGACATTGAACTCCTCTGTCCTACTGAATAGCGGGTACATTTGCTGGCCTACCATATTATCCCCCTGCCCTGTTTCATGGACAAAAGCCTGGACTTTCAGAAGAGATTTTTCTTCCTCTTTTCTAAATGAGAATAAAAGGACATGGTTACGGTTAGGTGGCAGTAGGACAAGATGAGAGAAGCACCCTACATAAGTACCTGTATGAGTCCTCTGGTGAGCCTTTAAGTGGGAGCTCTTTGTATAAACCTTCCGGCACCCATTAAACTGACAGCGATGAACCCTCTTCTTGTTTTCTGGGGATGCTTCTGCCCCTGTACCAACGTGCTCACTGTCACTCTGCCCAGCTTTTATTGTCCCCGCAGTCGCTGTCACTACACCCACTTTCACGGAGCTGAGTGAAGTTTTCTTGGCCACCAGTTTCAACGTCACCGTGCCATCCACCGCTGAGAGAGTCTGTGAGGTTTTTACAAGGTGGCGGCTGAGCTCTGGGGAGGAAGGGGGTGTTAATGAGGTTACTGCATTGAGTTGGGCCTGGTTGACGGCTGTATAGCCTTCTGTGGAAGAGCTGGTGGACTGCAAACTGAGGCACGTCTCAGAGAGCAGCTTGTCCCGTGAGAGGATAATGTCCACATTAGTGCTTTTGTCACACGTACTCGTCTCCACGGGTAAAAGGATGGGGTCCAGCCGTCGGATATTGTCCTCTGCATCTGGGGCTGAGGCGGCATGAAGGAAACAGTCCAAATCCTCACCAAAGGTCTCAGAGATCTTCCGCGGTTCAGTCTGAAGGTATCGCTCCAACTCCAGGCATGTCTGCAGGAGGGAAAGGGAGAGGGAAGGGAGAGAAACCACGTCAGAGAGAGGTTACACCATAGCTCCCACCTAGGGCCAAAGAACAATGTGGTCCAGAGTCATTCAGAGAGAGCACTCATGCACACCAGCACCTTCTCGTGAGGGAGACTTGAGGATCTGACACTTGTTTGATGCAAAATAGACTATGAGAATATCCATGTATGGTAGCAGATGTTATAGTAGGAGTGAAGATACAACAACCAGAAAGCATCCAGTACATTTTCTGTAGTGAAAAGTCTGTATATTGTTCCATGGATACCAGGCCCTTCCCAGTTTTAAGTGTAATCTGGCCAACAGTCACTTCCATATGAAACTATGCTAAAGGCTGCATCACCCAGCCATGTACAAACAAAGTCACCTCTCCAAAGAACTGCTTCCTCTTCCTTCACAAACATTAACTTTCACTCCAAATTTAACTCAGCATAGTTGGCTGGGGCCCAGTCTGTTCCTAAACCATCAAAATCCTGAAGCATGAAGCGTAGCATTTTAAGATGGGAGACAGAGAAAAACTCCCAGTGACACCACAGCTTGTTTAAAGGGCCTGAGACAAGGAAAGATGTGACACCAAAAAGGGACCTACTGTCAGTCTTAGAGGGTTTTTGGTACTTCTGGTCAAATGGAGCTCACTGTGTACAGGACACCAGACTTGCATTCAAACACACACATGCACCTTATTAAAAGGTAGATGAAGTTGCAGTCAAGGCGGCTGCCACATGGTCCTGCATTTCCACCACAGTGACTACCAGCACAAGGACGGGGTAAGCCTAACTTGAATGTACCTTATTATGCGGTGTCCCTAGCTAGCCCCAGTAAAGTCTCCAGGCACTATCACACTCCCCAGTGCTCTCCATAACTAACATTATAAACTTTTATTGTTTATAGAAAACCGTTTGCTGTAGTTTCAGGAGCTTTTAATGGAGTTTATTAGTGCTGTTTTTCATTTCTTGCTTCCTGAAAGGCTAGCTGGTTTAATATCACCACTGTGATTTTAGAGGACTTGAAGAAAGAGACATTCTAGCCAATACTTTTTAGAAACTTCTAAGAACTACTCCTCAGAGGACACTTCTAGAGATATAAAAAAAGTGATTTTAGGCAAAAAATTTCAGCCTATGGGGGCTGGCGACCCAACTACTTCCCAACCTTGAGAGTCCAGCATCTGATCAAGAGACAAAAGCTTCATATGGCTGGAGGAGACAGAGACTCCTGCCTCCTGGGTACAAAGGTCCCGTCAACACGAGTGTAAAGAGACCCCACTCACAGCTATGAGCTGTCAGATAATTCAAGTGTACTCAGGAAGCAGCACTGCTGGTTGCAGATATTATGTGGTGGGATGACTTTCAGAGTTCACAACAGAATTTGCCAGTTATCTGTTGTTGTTAAAATAATAGCTGATTGTAGACCTGAGCTGCAGAGATGGAATTGGACAAAAAGAAATAGAACAGCAACATATCCAAGTGAGATGTGCTATACTTTAGCACATAGGTTATTTTCAGAGGCATGACACTGTGTGTACGATGTGTCTGCACACAGGCCTGGAGGTGGGACACTTACCAGTTCGTACATGCCTTAAGCAACCTTTCCATTTTCTTTTTAAAGTACATTTCTGGTATCATGAGGAATGGCTTTAGCTGAGGATCTGATCTCTCCCCAGATGAATCCTAACAGGTTTTGGGAGCAGCTTTCCAATGCATTCCACAGTCTTTCAGGAACAACCTCCACCACCAGGAAAGGCAATGCTTTTGAATGCCCCAAACATGTAATTTGGGCTGCTTGGCCCACTTAGCCTTCACCCAGTGAGGCAGAAACAGGTTTAGGGGCCTAATAAATAAAAGGCTTCCAAAGGAAAGAGCAAGCATAATCACAAACTGGGGGTGGAAAGGGGGAGGGGGTAAGACAGGGACTCAAGGCTATTAAATCTGATGACAGTGACATGAAATTTCAATTGCTGTGGGATCAGAAAGCTGCGTGCTGGCTGCAGGCTGCCCATGGAGGGGAGGCAAGCAGGAGGTACTGCTCCTTTAAGGCATCACCACCGCATGACAACAATAGTGGGCCTGACAGTTTCTTCCAGCTTCACCATTAATTTTCCATAAAGAGCAGTTTGTCGATGAGCCCTTTTCAGCAAAGCCTGATGCTTCAGAAACCTGTAATTATTCCTGGCTCCCCCCTCCCGCAGCCATTGCACCTGTGCCATTTCAAGACACCAGCTGGTCATGTCTTGCCTTCTGCCTCTGAAATCCAAAACCAGTGGATCAAGCCCATCTCCCCATAGAGGGGGGGGGGAAAACTCAAAGAAACAAATGCAGTCTTTCCCTCCTGCCCCCCCCTTAGCCTCTCCACCAAGTCAATAGGGGGGAAGAGCCTAGCAACACTGAGCCAGAAAAGCCCTTCACCTAATCTGCATGGCAGACAAAGCCCAGTGAGGGGTTGCAGCCACAGCCCTTCTTTAACCCCCCACCAGGGTCCTACCTGCTGCTGCATTTGCCAGAGCAGGCAATTGATGGCAGAAACAAAGCATCTTTCCCCATATGCACTTCCCAGCTTCTGCCAAGTACCTCATGCGACCTTCCTGGCCCAAATCACCCAGGGAGTGCCCAAATCACCCTGGCAAGGCAATTTTTAGGCCAGCTAAGCCAAATCCCTCGTTTTGAGCTCTGACCTGGAGAAACCAGTCAGGCTGACACCACCAACGTCTCCACTCCAGCCCAGTGGACCATCAGGAGGGGCAGGAAGGTTCTTTGGTCTCCCTCCCCACAAAGTTCTTTGCCAGCAAGCTACATTTTGTGTGTATGTGTGTTAGCAACAGGACGTTGACCACTATCCATAGAGGTATGAACCCAAACTGCTGGATTCACATGATGGTGAACCCCTGTAGCTCTCCCACTTCCAAAACCAGCCTGGTAAGAAAATGGTCCAAGGATACCTAAACAGGAGTAACCTGCTCTTGTCATGCTGTTGTCATAGTTCTGTTGGATGTCCAGTTTCTCCCTAACCACCCATGCAAGAGATGGGGAGCTTTGTGTAATGGATGTGACATGTGACACTAAGTCTGACTATCCTTTGTTTGCTACACTGCAGGCAACTTAGTGGGCATTCAGCTTTCTTAACCAGTGCCTGTAGGACTTAGAGCAATAAACACTACAGAAATTGCAATGTGAGGAGGGAGATGACTCCCTTCAGGAATAGAAGAAAAAGATCCGTAAACCTGCTGTTTGCTGTCAAGCCAGTTTTGCAGGCCAGGGATAAAAAGTGACCCACCACTTCAACCCATCTGCCCTTATTAAGGAGGGTCATTTTCCTTGCACTTTGCTCCTCAATTTAGCCAGTTAAAAGATGATGATTCATGCCTGACGAATTACACAGTGTGATTCTGAGAGACCCCAGGTACTTGCAGGAAAGGATGGAAGTCTGGCACGTGGACAATCCCAACAAAGAATTTTTCAGTTTACACAAATGCAAAAAGGTTTGCTTTTCCAGCAGAGGCACACTGCCATAACCTGAAAGAAATGTGCATTTCCCGCTACATACTGGTAACTTGTAATATCTCTTTGCTCCCACATTATACTATCGTATCAGTCCTCTGGGACACATGTAGCAGCAGAATACATGTAAACTGCACACTATGACACTTCCACAAGCATCACTAGATCCTTCAGACAGTAAAAGACAATCAGTGTAGTGCTGTCCTATGCCTGGTAAGGACCTACTTCTTGTTAGTCCTTTCAGAGTTTGCAGTAGCATTGACCCAGGGATATTCAGTGTTCAGTACATCTACCAATTCAGAAAGGTATGGCCACTAAATTACCTGTATTCCAAAGCTGATCAACTCGAATAAAGATTATTTACCAAACACATTAAGAATGCTCACCACTATGAAATACAACACAAGAGAAACCCAGTGTGTCCTAGTAGAGCTGCACTACACGTCTACCATTTTCAGCAGAGATTAGCACTCACCTAATTTTCAGCCAGCAGAAATCAAGACAGTTTTGCTACTAGCTGCAACAACAGTGGCCTTTCCAATCCCTCCCTGATTTGCAGATAGACTCTGGTTCAGACAACCTAAATTTTAGAGTGCTTGTCAGCTGTGCAGGTTAAAATGCAACTCAGAACATTCAAAATCCAAATACGATGGAGATGAAGCTTTGGCTGGGACCACCACTGTCATCAAAGTGTCAAGGCTCAAGGCAGTGTAGGGAACGACATGCCCAGAGGCCAGGGGCCTCTGCAGGGACATAAAGTTTGGCATCTGGGTTCAGGTACAGACAGCTCTGGAAAACCTAATTCGAACTGATAACTCAAAATGAACTCTCAGTTCCCAGGGTATAAGTCTAAACTTGCCCCAGTGAATTGCACAGCACTGGTCTTGACTGGCAGCCATATGGAGTATCAGAATTTGACCCATATGTACATGCTCTTGAGAAACCACAGGTCACGTCAGAAGCACCTGACTATGCTGAAGTCTTTACAGCACTCAAACTCTTGAGCATTTTGCACAACTAAAGACAGGAAAATGTGGCAGCAGTACAGTCCAGTTCTGCCAAGCCAAAAGAAAGCCTAACACTTACAATGATTTGAGGACAGAAAGTCAGGGAGACACCTTATCAACATGTTTCCTGGGTTCCTCTGCCTTATTGATGCTGAAATATTTTGTAACATCTTGATTTTGAATTTTTCTTGCAGATCATGGGAAGTTCTTATCTGGAAGTGCTAGTTACTTCTAAGTGCCATTTTCCTGCAGATATAATTGGACATCAAGCACTGATCCTGGAAGTTATCCAAAACCTAATTATGAAGTTGGATACTTAGATCAGGCTGTGACAGAGAATGAAAATGTTGAACATGGCTGACAAGCAGGTCTGCTCTACTAGTTCTGTTTACAATACTTGAAAGGATTCTCTTTGCAGCATGATTTATGTGAGCAAAGCAGAATTATACATGCAATAATGAAGGTCAAATGC